GGGAGAGTGGGGGAGACGGGTAGAGAGGACTGGAAAGGGAAGAGGACTGGAAAGAAGAGAAGGGCTTTTTTTGGTTTTGGTTTTGGTTTTGCAAAACTTTGGTCGAGAAATGGGTGTGTTACACGGTAAGACTGGTCCGTGTTCTCTTCTATGAAGACGAGATTATCTGACCCAAAAGTGAATGCAGATGACCTCAAATTATCTTAGGCAATGGTTTTTGGCTCCTTTTTGTGCTTTTTCCATTTTGGTCTCATTGTAGTGGGTGGAGCTGTTTTTATCCAGCCAAGTGATCACCTGCAAGCTGGAACCCTAGTTTTCTAGAAGTGCATGCTTGGTGATACCGCCTTTACCATACATGGACTGCATGCCCTTGAAGGCATCGTGTGCAGAGACCTTCACCCCTACATTGTGGAAGGGGTCCCAAGACTGTGGGAGTAGCTTTCCAGCCAATGACCTTAAAGACATAAAATCTGTAAGGAGATTTCCAAATGTTTTGGTAATTTAAAATGGCTGTGCCTGAAATCTTCAGGTCTCCCAGTAAGTTGGGGCTCTCTCCAGCTCTTAAGTGTTGACTTTTACACAGCTAAAACAAATGGCTGAACAAAAGTTTCAACTCAAAATTTAAAATTTTTCATTCGGGGGCACCTGGGTGTCTCGGTTGAGCGTCCAACTTCGGCTCCAGTCATGATCACAGTCCATGAGTTCGAGCCCCACGTTGGTGTCTGTGCTGACAGCTCAGAGCCTGGAGCCTGCTTCGGATTCCGTGTCTCCCCCTGTGTCCCCTACTCGCGATCTCGTGATATCTCTCTGTCAAAAATAAACAATTTTTTTTTTAAATTTTCATTCAGACTTCAAACAGCTGCACAGTTTAAAAGGACGTTTTTGGCATCTGAGAGAGCTGGGTTCACTTACTCTGTAACTGGGGGCAGTTGACTTGACCTCTCTGATTTTGGGTCCCACCTCACAACACCCACTTGATAAATAGGAAAAAGGAAGCATCCGTGTGTGCCCATCTTCCGGACTATTCTCGCTTCAGGAGTCCCTGGTTCAGTGTGTTCCCCATCTGCGTTTATGCAGGTGCTTTAAACAGGCAGAGTCAAATGTTCAACAGAGGCTTTCTGAGTCCTGTGTTCCTGACTCTCCACGATTATTCCCGTAAGCAAAATTGTTGTCCGACTGCTAGTTTTCTTTTGTAACATGTTTGAGCACTATTGCAATTTGAACGTCGGTACAGTTCTCATGTCTGCCTACGTTTCTCCATAAACATGCTGAACACGTGTCCGTCCATTTTTCTAATGGCCAAAAGCAAGTTCTGGGGTCAGACTGCTATGTGGTCGGGTCAGATCCCAACCACATCACCGGGGGACATGGGATAAGTTACAAAGCTGTTCTGCACCAGGTTTCCCATCAATGAAATGGGCACAGTGATGGTGCCAGCCCGCGGGACCGGCATGCATTTAAATAAAGACAACTCCATAAAATGCCTGCACAGTGCTGGCAAATCTAAATGCTCAGTAGACAGTTAGCAACCCCATTCCATATCACTGTGCAGATGGGCACATGTACATGTACTCCAGATATTGTTCGTGGATGCCTGTGGCCAGTCTCAAGTACCAACAAGAAGTTTCTGAAGACGTGACACTGAAAATGTGTAAAGGGAACACTTTACAGAACTTTGAAAGCCTGTGTTGAGCTTTTTAACTTAAAACATTATGTTTAATTGTTTCTGAACTCACTGTAGTGGGAGACTGGTTGAATGCAGCGTCCCCCGGGGCCAGAGTCACCTTGAGCATGACAGAGCTTGACTAGACCATTCAGATAGGGGAGGCCACTGAGACTCAGAATTTGGGTGTTTTACCAGAGGCTATTGGACAAGAGGGTGTTGAGACTAAGCCCTGATTCCAAAAACAGTGGTTCTAAAAACGACTCCAGAGAATTTGCTAGGTCAGGCATGGGTTTTTAACCGGCTGGGCTATTTCTTTTTCTTTTTTTCTTTTCTTTCTAAAGTTCATTTATTTTTGAGAGAAAGAGACAGACAGAGTATAAACAGGGGAGGGGCAGAGAGAGAAGGAAAC